AGATTTGAAGTTCCTTTTGGAAAACTGGGACGCCATGTCATCCGGACTAAAGAGGACAAGGACAACCCAAGTTGTTATCAGCGCTCAGTTCAGAAGCCTGCATCTCTGATGGTATGGGGTTGCATGAGTGCGTGTGCCATGGGCAGCTTACACATCTGGAAAGGCACCATCAGTGCTGAAAGGTATGTCCAAGTTCTAAAACAACATATGCTCTCATCCAGACGTCGTCTCTTTCAGGGAAGACCTTGCATCTTCCAACAGGACAATGCCAGACCACATACTGCATCAATTACAACATCATGGCTGCGTAGAAGAAGGATCTGGGTACTGAAATGGCCAGCCTGCAGTCCAGATCTGTCACCCATAGAAAACATTTGGCGCATCATAAAGAGGAAGATGCGACAAAGAAGACCTAAGACAGTTGAGCAACTGGAAGCCTGTATTAGACAAGAATGGGACAACATTCCTATTCCTAAACTTGAGCAACTTGTCTCCTCAGTCCCCAGACGTTTGCAGACTGTGATAAAAAGAAGAGGGGATTCCACACAGTGGTGAACATGGCCTTGTCCCAACTTTTTTGAGATGTGTTGATGCCATGAAATTTAAAATCACCTTATTTTTCCCCTTAAAATTATGCATTTTCTCAATTTGAACATTTGATGTGTAATCTATGTTGTATTCTGAATAAAATATTGAAATTTTAAACTTCCACATCATTGCATTCTGTTTTTATTCACTTTATTCACATTTTGTAAAGTGTCCTAACTTTTTTGGAATCGGGTTTGTATATCTCTGAAATATCACCTTTTGGGATTCCACATTACATTAGTGACAAACGTAATGACATAAATGATGGAGACACATTCAACATGTTCAGGAAACTACAACAATACATACAATGTGTTATACCACTGCATGGCAATGTTTACAAGAAAGCTCCACAGGATACTGATCAATCTGAAATTCAAGCAGTATATTCATTTTTGTATTGAACCTGGGATAAATCACAAGATTTGTTATGCTTCTAAACAATAAGGTCATTTTTAATCATTAACTTGACAAACTTGGCAATAAACATACTCAGACATTTAAGGTTATAAGCTCATGTTAGGCTCTGCTGTGCAGCTACGTGTCAGTGCTGACAAACTGTAAAGCTGTATTCTGCATACATCTGAGGTGGCACCGTTTTGGAACATTTCCATCCTGCAACTCTTATTCCTGCTCTGAAGGCCAAGGTTCGAGGAGCAAGGAAGCTGCTCAAGGAGCAATGAGTGAGAGGACTTTCACAGAAGTCTATGAGCTGATGTGCTTCTTCATCGGAAATTAGTTGGTGATCGGATGCTTCAGATGAAGGAGCAAAGGAAAAATTCTCCTCTCTTTAAAATATTGCCTCAATTCCTCTCTCCTTGCAATTGTTCTTCACATCTTTCCTCACATCTAGGGGGGCATGACCCTAACCCAAAGACACAAGTGATGTAAACATGAATGCAATTAAGAGATGTGGGTTTAATCTGTGTGTGTTTTCTTTGGTGTGGCCTTACATGTGTCAAATATGTAACTCTATCCCTGATGATTGTAGAGTTCAACTAAACTCACCCTGGAGAGTTTAGTTGATCTGCTTTTGGATCATTAATCTCCATGGTGACTGTGTTATCACTGTCTCACAGGTGAATCACCATGACAACAGAGCCAGGTGAGCCACAGGAAGGCCAGTCCAAAGAGATTGAAGCTGCCGCCCACTCCACACCTAAACAGGTAAAAGTGAATTATTGATCAGTATGAAAATTCAGTGAACAGGCCATTAATCTGGAACATGAAATGTGACATTTTTTGTGTCCTCAGGGAAGGGAGGTCGGACCCCCCCAGACTAAAGATCAGAGCTTATTGGCTGAGGACTCAACCAGTCAATTGTCATCAAGCAGTCGGATCAGTCCGGCCAGGAACCCATTGAGTTTCAGGATGATTCAGGCGAGGGTGACCCTGCTAGATGGCTCGCTGTTCATCTGCACCATAGAGGTGAGACAGGTGTGACAGGTCAGACAAGTGAGCCAGGTGGAGACGAGTGCATTTTCAGTGTATTGGTCACAGAAGGATCATACTTCCCCCAGCTGATGATGATGAGTGCAGTAGAAACAGTAAACAGTGATTCAGATGGCAGTTGAATGTTTGTCTGATGTTGTTTTTCTGTTGTGTTTTCAGAAGCGAGCCCGTGGTCTGCAGCTGTTCGAGAAGGTCTGTGAACACATCAACCTGCTGGAGAGAGACTATTTTGCTCTGTCCTTCAGAGACAGTGACAACAACAAGGTACCTGACTGTCTATTTGTCTACCTGTTTTGACTTTATACTTACTAGTTTAATGTTTGTTTATCTCACACTGTGGGCCCATCACCTCCAGGGAAAGGAGTTGGGGCTCAGTGAAATGCAATTCGGGCTGCAGGCTAGGCCAGGTACCTGGGCATGTTGATCCCTGGCTGGGTAGGCTAACTCTAGGAAAGTGGATTGTTCTCTCTCTGGTGGGAAAAGAGCTGGAACTTGTGCAGGAGGTGGAGCATTACCAACTACATGTAGTTGGGCTTATCTCCATATAATACTCTTGGCTCTGGAACCAAACTCCTGGAGAGGGGCTGGATTCTATCCTTTTCTGGAGTTACCCAGGGTGAAAGGCGCTGGGCGGTTGTAGGGATACTCACAAGTTCCTGGCTGGGCACTAATCTTGTGGAGTTCTCCCTGAGCAATGATAGGGTTACCTCCGTGTGACTTAAAGTCACTGAGAGGAAAGCTCTGACTGTTGTTTCAGAGTATGTGGCCTTCTTGGAGACCCTCGGTGGGGTTTTTGAGAAGGCACCACTTAGAGACTTTATAGTCCTACTGGGGCTCTTCTACACTCACATGGGTAATGATAGAAGGGGGTGATTGGGAGCAACGGTTTGCCCAATCTGAACCCACATGGCACTATTGGACTTCTGTGCTCGCCATGGATTGGCCATAACAAACATTGTGTCCGAGCATAGGGTTGTTCATCTGTTCATCCATCCAAGATGATCTGCTTACCTGTCTGACTGTTTACCTATTTACTGGTCTGTCAGTTGACTTGTCTGTCTGATCTGTGACCTTTGATCTTTTTGTTGTAGAACTGGCTGGACCCAGCAAAGGAGATGAAGAAGCAGGTCAGAGGTCAGTATGATCCTGGTTTTGATCCAGCACAGATTGCACTATTTTTCAGGTTACTTGATTTTAACAAACTCCTTAAGTCAATTCCATGCTCTCTCTCTCTCAGGCGTTCCTTGGAACCTCTCCTTTAATGTGAAGTTTTACCCTCCAAACCCTGTCCAGCTCTTTGAGGACATCACCAGGTAGTTTTTCTCATCTATCAATCAAAGCTCACCACTGTCTCCCATGTTTTCATATGGTGAACAGCTGTGGAAGGTAAAAAGCATGTTTGAGATCAGACAGATCTACATAGAATCAGTCACTGCTGTAGTTTCTGGAACCAGGTGCTGCATTTGCTAACCACAGACTGCATGTCTGTGCAAATTCTCAGTCATCCAGGTCATAATAAGCTGAAAAAACATTTAAAAAATCATCTGGACTTGGTTTTAGGTAGAAGATGTTTCACCTCTCATCCAAGCGGCTTCATCAGTTCTGTCTGACTGGTGGTGAGCAGGAGGTATTTATCCCCCTGGCTGGTGTTCCAGTCCTTCGATAGCCAACAATGTCCCCTAACGACTGAGTCGTTATAGGCCAGTATCAGTGAGCGTCGTTATCTGTCTTTGAACCCTCACATGTGGACCGATGCCTATTGTCCTGGTGTGAATTAGGGTGGAGATGTTTGGGCAGAGATTCCACTGACTGCAAGAACTCAGGGCATGATGGAAAACACCAAACTCTTACCTGATCTAAGAGCTGATAGGTTTAGATGCTGGATCAACAGCATGACGCGTTATAGAAATGCGTCATTTATTGTGTAATTGGAGAGATTCAGATCTTATTAGTCTTGTTGTGGTTCAAGGTTCAAGGATTTTATTATCAGTTCACCATATGTGCAGGTATAGAGAAAATCAATATACAGTTTCTCTCTCACCTAGTATTGGGTGCCATAACATTTAGGATCTAAAATAGAATAAAGTAGAATAAAAATAGAATAGAATAGAATAGAATAGAATAGAACTGGATTAACATAATTAGGATAATTCTAAACGGTACAGCCAATAAGCTGTGACTCAAAACAGAGTACAGTCAGTGACCGTAGTGCAAAACAATCACTTTGCACTATGAAAGTGGTCAAACGTGACTTTTATCAGTCAGAGAAGCTGAATGCAGTCTGCAGAAGGAAGTCGGTGATGTTCATCTTGACTGCAAGTTTTTGTCACCACCCCACTGCTGCCTGCTCAAGTCTCCTTACCAGGTGAGGCGCAGTGCATCTTAACAATCCTAATGGCTTCCTGTTCGTCTATCTGCAGGTACTTCCTGTGTCTCCAGCTAAGACAGGATATCATTTCCGGTCGTCTTCCTTGTTCGTTTGCAACACACACCGTCCTCGGCTCCTACACTGTTCAATCAGAGCTTGGAGACTATGACCCTGGTATCAACACCTGCTCCTACTGCCGACTGTACCCTACCATACCCTGCCATTATTTGATGGGCCCTACCCTACTGGATTGTACTGTACTCAGATGTACTATATTCTACTCTGCCATACTGTTCTTTGACATACAGAACCCTATATTGGACCCAACCAGCCTTTCTCTGACATACTCCACCATACCCAGCTGTACCCTTCTGATTAATTGTCTGTCTTTCTTCCTTCTGTTTGTATTGACCTGTCTCTGCATATTTCAGATGAGTGTGGTTCCAACTACATCAGCAATCTTTGTTTTGCTCCAAATCAATCCAAAGAGATGGAGGAGAAGATCATGGAGCTGCACAAAACTCACAGGTCCCTAGAGTCACAATGTAAACAGTACAAATAAAGTCATTATAATAATAAATCACATCTAAAGAATATAAATAAAGTCAA